ATATATATATATATATATATATATATATATATATATATATATATATATACATATGTATATATATGTATGTATAGTGAGAAAAATTAGTATTTGAACACCCTGCGACTTTGCAAGTTCTCCCACGTAGAAATCATGGAGGGGTTTGAAATTTTCATTTTAAGTACATGTCCACTGTGAAAGACATAATAAGTTACTGCTGCAAATAAGTATTGAACACATGTGAAAATCATTGTTAATATTTGGTACAGTATCTTTGTTTGCAGTTACAGAGGTCAAATGTTTCCTGTAGTTTTTCAACAGGTTCACTGCAGCAGAGAGTTTGGCCCATTCCTCCACAGATCTTCTGTAGATCAACCAGGTTTCTGGGCTGTCGCTGAGAAACACAGAGTTTGAGCTCCCTCCAAATATTTTCTATAGGGTTTAGGTCTGGAGACTGGCTAAACCACTCCAGAACCTTGATCTGCTTCTTACAGAGCCACTCCTTGGTTCTCCTGGCTGTGTGCTTCGGGTCATTGTCATGTTGGAAGATCCAGCCATGACTCATCTTCAATGTTCTGAGGGAAGGAGGTTCTTCCCCAAAACCTCACAAAACATGGCCCCGGTCATCCTCTCCTTAATACAGTGCAGTCGTCCTGTCATGTGCAGAAAAACACCCCAAAGCATGATGCTTCCACCCCCATGCTTCACAGTAGGGATGGTGTTTTTGGGATGGTACTCTTCATTCTTCATCCTCCAACATGTCAAGTGGAATTAAAACAAAAAATTCTATTTTGGTCTCATCTGACCACATAACTTTCTCCCATGACTCCTCTGGATCATCCAAATGGTCATGGACAAACTTAAGACGGGCCTGGACGTGTGATGATTTAAGCAGGGGAACCTTTTGTACCATGCATGATTTTAAACTATGACGTCTTAGTGTATTACCCACAGTAACCATGGAAACAGTGGTGCCAGCTCTCTTCAGGTCATTGACCAGCTCCTCCCGTGTAGTTCTGGGCTGGTTCCTCACCTCTGCGC